TCTGAATACAATCCTTCGACTTTTTGGATTTTGGTTGGGCTGGGAGCATTTTGGTGGCTTAGTATCCTTTATATATTACATGACATGAGTTGTTAGATCTTCTTCTCTATTTGTGACGATGTGATGATATACTAAGTCGGGGATTTTTAATCGCAATCCAATCGTGGAATTTTCTGGGCTGGCGTTTGTAGAGGCGACCTTTTTTGTGGTGAGTAATGGTCGATGGTTGCTAATGCTGGTGAGTCTGGTGTGTGGAATACTTGGGTGATGAGATCTAGTGGTGTGTGATGCTTCTTTTTGCTCTGGGAGGTGAGGGTTTGATTTGTGTTGTGGGATGTGGTGGGTGTTAACGCTTTCGTGTTGTGTTTTGAATGTTGTATGCTTTGGCTGTTGTATGTTTAAGTTATGGAGTTTGTCGAATTACTTCAGAGGAAGCTCGAGAGTGAAGAAGATTGAGAGCTGCATGTGCTACTACTCAAGTATCCCAAACTCCTGCCTATAGGCTCTGCGGAATGATTCAACCATAACATAAAATCCCCGCATATAAGATTATTTTCCAAACTTCAAAAATTCCTATAAATCTTATAATTGAACACTGCCTCCGCGTCCTAGACCAAAAAATGCCTACTTCAAGATACAACCATTATCGTCAACCACACTACCCCCACCCAGCTCAGCCATTACTTTACCATATACATTTCCTCTTCATAGCAAGATTGACAAAGATCATTCCTCCCTCACTTTCATTCCTATATACCAGATCACCGTATGTATTTTCGCAATCATCTGGGTGAAAATGGGTATACAGTATATTCGTGGAGGATAGATATAAAGTATAAAGATATCTCATAGCTACCTAGGTAATATTGGTGCATTTATTACACTAGTTCCCGAAGTTTTGACACATGGGTTTTTTGTTGATGGAGTTGTTTTTTCTTGTTGAGGTATTGGGATTTTGAGATTTCAGAGAAGGAGAAGAGAAGTGGAAGATGAGAGATCAACAGCTGTCATTCCAATTCCAGGCGACATTGTCTTATGCAGGTGGGGATTTGTTGCGGTTTATTTAATAATTGGTTAAAGCTGGTCTAGAGGAATGATTCAGTTATATATTCTATAAGATGACTTCTGGTATATGAATATACATACATTTTAGTTGTTAATTTCTGAGGAGTGCTTTTGTAGGATTTCCTTGTCATTTCACCGGAGAGACAATGACTGCCCAATATTAACATGTTATGTTGGGCTGGTCTGGATATTTCGATTCGTAGTAAGATTTAAAATGAATCTTACAGCGGCATATTAGAGCATGACTGTTGTTTAATGGATACACAGTCAATATGTACGTAAATGTTTAGCGCACATGATATATCATTATGAAGTTTGAGTTAATGTTCTTGTTCACTTGTCATAGAAATTCATCGAACCCGAGACTAAAATAGAATTAGATCTCTGGAAGAATGATTTAAAAAAAGAAAATAATGGCTGTGAAATTTTGAAGTTATTTATATTGATTATTTTGGATTTAGAAAATGATTTGATTCACTCTGTTGGTATCGAACCACCATGATGACTCCAAATCACCTCATCCATCATTAGTGCTATTCTCCCACATCCCTATACTCTACTTCTTGTTAGACATCCTGCTTTCTCCAGCATTTATGAATAGATTATGAATTTTTCTCTCGTTAGAATCCGAGAAGGAAAGCCATACGTGAGAACTTGAAGATAATCTTACAACAGTGAATTTTTCTCGTAGAAAGTGACAAAAAAAACAGGAATTTATTTGTGGTAGTAAATGCCTCAAATGCAGTTGATCAATTTAGATACTGAAAGCTCAATCTAGTATGCTAGTCTGGATTATTGGAAACCTTCAAGGTGTTTCATGAAAGCGATATCTAACAACTATTCAAAAAGGACTTGCCACAAATATAATATCGTACTCCGCTGGCTATTCAAAGTCAACTAGGTAGTAACTAGGTACTGTGATAGCGAGTAGATATCATTTTCGCAGCTGTATACCTTTCTTTTATAGCAATACAAGTTTATAGATATGCAACAAAACTTTGAAATGGCCTTGCGAATGTCTGGTCACTAGAATTTGAGTAGCTCTTATTAAGCTAATACCATATTGCTACCATATTTTCCTTGAAAACTGTCATAAGCTTCAAGAAAATTATGGCATAAAATCTCTGACCACTAATATGTCAACTTGATCTTTTTCTAGTGAATGAAGCATGAATTGGAAGCTGTATGAATTTTGTGGATGTGCAACAGCGTTGTTGAGATATGTGGTTGTAATTAGTCATATGCAGTACCTCGTAGATTCACTGCAAAGAATCTTTCTTTCTTTCTTCCTCTTCGCTTGGTAAGTACTTTCGAATGGAATGGGACAGGATGAGCTGAGAAGATGAAATAGGGGAGAATTACAGAGAATGGAACGGGACATCATATTGAGTTGAGATATCTTGCATCTACAAATACATTTCCAAAGTCCGCTATTTACTCCAGGGGAAAATCATCAATTATTTATCCTTTTTAACCACTTCCAACAATCTCCTTCCTTCCCACGGTCCATTCTCCACATTTGGTGCACCCCAAACCTTCACCAATACTAACCCTACACTCTCAATTAACTCCTTAAATTGTCTCCCCGTTCTTTCTAATGCCGAAAATCCACCCATCATTGTCCAATCTGTACACGCACTCTCAAATGAAACATTCTCTTCTTTCATCAAATTCTCATTGATCAATAACATACTGTCCTTCCCCATTGCGTCTCTAATCTGTTCAAGGATAATAGAAGCTTGTTTATCAGGCCAATCGTGTAAAACATTGGCAAGGAAATAAGCTTTGGCGTTTTGGACCGGCTGCGGTTTAAAGAAATCGTGGGGTTGAGCTTCAATGCCTTCAGGAAGTGAGCCTGGTGCTATACCAGAAATCACAACTGGTATATCTTGCACGATGAGTCTTCCCTGGATGTCTGGATTTGCTTCCTTGAAACGTATCAAATCATGTCCAATGCCTCCTCCGATATCAATAATAAGTGGATCCGTAGGGGATTCTGCAACGAGCTTCTCTGCAACGGGAAAGTATTTGTACCATGCTGTACGACCAATATTACGTGGGATAGTCATGACGGTATTGAAAGCATTTTGAAGACGGGGCTGAGTAGCTATCCAATCAAAACAGTGGAGTTCTGTTTGTCGAGCAAATTGGAATGGGCCATTGAATGCATCATTGGGATTCTTGTAGCCAGTTTTGGCGAAGTATGTTGGGAGAGAGGTTACTACTTCGTTTTGGGTTGTGCTAGGCGATGGTTAGATGCAAAGAAGATACTTGTAAATTATGGGACATACAAATGGATTATTGCCTGGCCGTATGTAGAGGATGTGACAAAAGCGCTTGCTAGTGGTGCTGGTTTGTAGGTTTCTCTAGCCGTTTCGACAAAGAAACCCATTCCAACAAGGAGCCTCATAACTCGAACTGGGAGAAAAGTTAGTCTTTTGATATTTTTAATACTAGCAACGTGGAACTCGCCAACAAGCAAAGTATCAGCATCTTTCGGAACAGCTAGATCCTCAGCTCTGATTTCTTTGCCGGCCGCAGATAAAGTAGCTGCTGTATCGAAAATTTCCATATCGACAGCGAGCCTAAGTGCCAAAGGTTCAAGTGACTAGGTATACGTTAGAAGCAATTCGAGTGTAGAAATATAACACTTACGGAAAAGATCATTTTCATCAACTTATCCCTAGGACCCTCCAAGCTTGATTGAAGTTTTCCACAAGCACTAAAAAGCCTCCCTCTATCTTCTTCATTCAATTCACTAGCTTTGCCAGTAGCGGCATTGATAGAATTTATGAGCTCGGAGACACTCATGATGAAGACTGGCCACTTGAGATGTTGCTTGAAGTTGTGATAGCTAATGATTCACGTGGTACCGGGGTAAGGACAGTACTGTTTCATCCACTTCGATTTTAAAAAGATAGAAACGCGAGGTATAACACTGAAATTATGAGTTCTATGAAAAGTAAACACCAATTTCTATAGGGAGGAAGATATACTCTCGTTAAATCCGCACACGTGAATGACAACTCCGCCACAATCTCCGTCTCCGCGGAGCCTCCATGCCCGCTGGTATTCCTTTCAAAAATTGGGTCAACATGAAGGAGTCTGACTAAGACCGGGACCAGGGCCTTTCTTCCGGGAGTATTTGATATGTGTTAGATCAGAAGCTCTCGCAATTGACGTCAAACATGGATCGCTTGTACCAAGGTTTCAAATAGCCTAGTTAATCTCCTCGGTAGCTTTTGCGCTTGATCTTGAGGCTGTGCACCTTGAAGTGTTTTTAATATGTCACGCATGCCGTACATTAGAGCTAAACCTAATCCAGTCTAGTGTTCTTCAAAGCACGTGGCACCCTCATGGAAGCAACGTGATACTTTAACCTTAATCAATAAATTTTACGAGCAACTCATTGAGCTGCGTCGATTATGCATCGTTCTCATTTCTTCTAACCTTATCTCGAGTTGATTTTGTGATTGGATGAACAGCTTCAATTTACCTAGTGGTCATTGTGTACTTGCAACTCGGAATTGAAAGAGCTGGAGCAACGTCGACCGTGACTACTACCGCAAACTCTTTCGGTCAGGCTTGATCGTCCTCTGCATATTCATAACTCACAAATCTGGTATACTGCTATTATTAGGTTGATTTTGGCCTAGAGAGACAAACTACTTTCAAGTTGTGTCAATCGGGATCACCGGTATAATCATACCACCTCGATGAGGACCAGGTACCACATAGTCTGCGGGGCAAGGCAGACCCAATCGCTTTCTTTCAAAAATTGTTGGAAATATGAAGGCCAAACGGGAATTGAAGTATCAATTTGGCAGGGCTAGTATGGAATATCTCCCGGAAATTGTGAGCTACGCCATGTGCTTGCAGCTCTCCAAATAATTATGATCAATTAAGCATGTTTTGAGGAGCCAGTCAAGAATCAACCCCACAGCCTGATCACATAAATTTAGCCTTCAATATTTTCGAGCTTTAAACAGTTGTTCTCCATATTTTCTTTGACTTGGTTAGACCGAGTTTGTGGTATTACAGCAAACTACATGCCGAGCATTTAGAATATCAAAAGGAAGTATTCATTATCAAACGTCCTTCTATTTATGAGGCCACTAGAATCATCCACCATAAAAATCATCTTGAATGTGTCTAGCATCGAATAAAGACTAATTAACACTTATTTCTTTCGGGTGTGATCATCGTGTTTGTTGCATTGTCTGCAAGTTTCTTCTTTCGGACTTGGGGTGGCGAGGTTCTGCCAGCAAATGCAAAACACAAACATCATAACGGATAATGGCAGTGCAAGCTACAGTTTTTTGTACTACCCATCACTCTTGCTCACACATGGAGTTCTCGGTACTACCCACTGGTAGAACATCTTCCTAATAAATTAGTAGAATACCAAAGTCTTGGTGCCGTTATTAGTAGTCTTAAAAGCCACTATTATCCTTCATGCCCTTTATAACAGACTTGTGGGACAAGACTTCCCAGATATCTCGTCTCCAGACTATTCATATTCATCTCCTTCACATCTCTGCTCAATATATGGAAATTTGTATCAACTTGAGACTCTGATTTTATCCATTTAAGATATATTTGTTGAAATATTTCAATCATCCGACATTTATTGATCAAAGTCAATCGAGATGTCTGAAACGACCCCTATGGGATCTTGCCCTCAAGGTGGTAAGTGGTATGTCTTATCCTCTCCGTGGAGTTCTAGCTGCCACTAACTCATTTTTGCTTTCAGGTATACATGCGTAGTTCAATCACCAACATTTTTTGGATGCTGCTTGAGTGATCCATGCAATGGAATTGGTTGCCCAGAGAACAACCTCACGGCTGCAGGAATGGGAACAGCAGGTGGCCCCGATGCTCCCAGTAATGATGGATCATACTACCAAAATTCGGCTTGCCTAAACGGAGGAGTTTGGTTCACTTGTTCTGAGCAATCTCCGTCTTTTCAAGGTTGCTGTGATACTAGCGATGGTTTTAATCCATGTCAAGACAACGGTTGTCCCAAGGAAAGACTCTACGCTGCGGCATTTAAAACCGTTCAAGTCATGATTGACTCTGATACTTTTTCTATTTCATCTTCCCTGACATCATCATTTCCATCATTTTCTTCTTCCACCTCATCTCTTTCCATCTCTTCATCTTCGACTTCATCTTCAACAACAAACCCCATTATTAGCCCCAGTTCCACGGCACAACCTGCATCATCTCAAGCATCACCCACAGTGAGCGCGATATCAGATCCGATTGGACATGATTCAGAGTCAAAATTACCCATCGCAGCAATTGTAGGAAGTGCTTTAGGTGGAGTCGTTGTTATGCTAATTGTCCTGCTGGGAATTTTTTGCTTTCAACGACGAAGAAAGAGAGCTCCGTCGGCAGGATTAATTGAACCATATTATCAAGCCTCACAAGACATTTTTATGGCTAAAGGAACTCCGCCATCCTTTGTTTATGGAGCCAGTCCTCCAGATGGTAAAGTTCTTCCAAAAGGTAATTTTGACTCCTTCGAAATAGAAAGATTTCGTGTATGCTAATTATTCAGTAGATTATCGTCCGATGTCCCATACACCATCTTCACCACCTCACAGTCCTGCTCCACCATACCAATCAGCACCTCACTCCCCAGAGCTCTCTAATTACCATGAGATTGACTCGACCATTTTGAATGAAGTGGAATCTCCACCCCTCCAGCAACGACAATTTGCTTCTCTACCAGTGGCAGCGGAGATGCCAGATACTTCAGAAGAAATTTGCCGAGCATCGCAGCCTTGAGTCTTGATTTAAGGCCTGCTGGGACATTTTCGGGGAAGTGAGGGAGTTTCTTTGATTCCACTGTCTATTCGTTTCGGATCTGCTTCCAGGAAATCATACAACTACGTTATTATTCACCCAACATTTATTTTAGTATTTATTACGGTGTTCTAAGTAGATTACCGAATATTTGAATGGCATCATATCCAAACAGGGTGAATAAGTCTCTTGTGGTATTCTCTTTCCATTCACAAATTTGGCAACCTATTATTGGCCCAATCGACTTCTATATCTTTCTCAAACATTTATTTGATGAGAAGCTTCCTGAAAATCAAGCTGCCCTTTAATAGTATCTTCCAGCTCTGTCTTCATTTTTATTCTAACTGCAGATACAAGAGAGTTCATCTAAACAACTCGCCCTACCCGATTCAAATTCTGGTGATATGGCAAACAATACTATGGGTTCTTGTCCTTTAGGTGGTCTCGTAAGTACAATCATATCCTTTATTTTTATACCCACTCCTAGAATTTTTGTGGGCTATTTTATCCCTTAAATCCGCTTCACTTCTCCAATAGACTGTACTAACCACATGCATTTCTAGTGGTGCGTTCCTTATCTATCATTTTTACACCAGCACTGAATCATAAATAATAGGTATACCTGTAAAGCTCAAACACCAAGTTTCCTTGGATGCTGCACGAGCAACCCGTGCAACAGTAAAGGCTGCCCAGTAGCTGACCTCCGAGCAGCTGGGCTAGGACTTGGACTTACAGGACAAGAAGCATCTCTTAGCCTTGGCTCTTATTATCCAAACGTGTATTGTTCTTCTGGAAGTTGGTGGATATGTGCAAGTCATAATCCTTCGTTTCAAGGTTGTTGTGATGTCAATCCATGTTCAGCAAATGCTACGCATTGCCCTCAATCCCAGCTACATCCTGCGGCTTTCAAGGCTATTACCACTGCTTTGGACTCTACCGGATCGTTCAACACTACTCTGCCGATAGCTGCTTTTCCGGTGGCTACTTCTACTCACTACGATTTCAATGACGAATACACCTGAAGTCTTTAGCAGTGATTTGTCTCCGTCATCGGCACACAAAGGATCATCAAGGACCACACGTTGGAATGATCCCGCCTACTCAGCGCAAAAATCCTCGACCGATACAACATCGGGAAATGTAACTATGTTGGCGTCACTTTCTTATTTGTCGACATCTGGTATACCTCGGCCCACTGGAACTGTGCTATTGAACGTATCATCAACTCACCTCAGCAATACTGACAACAACGGCATTTCCATGACAGCTGGATCAAGCATAGTAACTGTAACATCGGTATTGACATTCACAGCTGTCCGAATCTCGGTGTATACGGTTCCCTACAGCTTATCAGATTCTACATATCCCTCAGATTCCATGTCTTCATCCACAGCCAGAACAGTTACCAGTTCGAGCCATCTTGATTCCGCATCTCCAAGTTACCAAGCAGCTAGTTCCACATTGCTACTTTCTGACACCAGCACCACTCTTCCTCCCGACACAACTACGAATACCAAACTTGTCGTCTGGGCCGCCACTAGCGGAGTCGCTTTAATCTTGATCTTCGCATTTCTATCATGGTGGTTACGACGTCATCGGAAGAGAACCATCAACAGTAGCGAGAAACCAACAACAATTTTCTCGCTTTCCTGGCTACCATGGAAACAGAAAAGGAAGGAAATTCCAAGAACATCTTTCTCTACCTACCCTTTCAAGGCAATGACACAACCTACACCGAACAACAGTGAAAACTTCATGAATGAGACCTAGTCTGCGAGTCTGAGAGATTATCGGAATTTGAAAATTATGGATATGGCAAAATATGGTATGGGTAGTATGAATCACCCTTTTTCATTTCGTTTGGTCTGAGAATTAATTATATCTAGACACTCAATGCCGGAATAGAATAACGCCACGTCTTTCAGGATATGAATCGGATTATTCGCGATCAGATGAGCCACAAGCTTTAAATAATAATGAAGATTTGACTTCTCTTGGAGTGGGATTGGATAGAAATTCTTTTGGGCGGAGAATGGTACAGCGGGGTTGGGATGGAATAGATTTGCAGAATGTTTATGTAGCCAGACGTGATGGAGAGATAGAGCATGATATTGAGTGTTGAATGACCTTGTAGGACTGTGTTTTTACATGGTAGAGAGATACATTACACATGTTGCAAGGAGGTAACTAAGGTTATTGGTTAGGCATTCATATTGGAATTTTATTTTCTATTTAAACGACAAAGTCCCAAGATTGACCTCTTCAGAAGGCCGGAATCAACAAGTTCGTAAATTGAGAAGACTTTTCTCATTCAGTTGAGAAGCCAGATGATCCCTAGTCATCCCATCTCATCCTGTTCCACATTCCATTTTCCAATCACGTGATGTTATCCTAACATCCCACCCATGAACACCAACCCCGAATCCACAGATCATCACACTGCATAGAACTAACCCTTTATCCACCACACACAACATTTGATTATCGTCGGGCTATCCGGTGTACAATCCTTCCTAAATCGCACTTGGTAAGAGGAAACGGTGATAGGATCTAGCAAAGGTCCGTTGTCGGTATAACCATACTCCGCCGTGTGCCGTTTGTGGGGTTCTTTGGCCGTGCGTGCTGTCAACACCCATACCCACACCACACCCCTCTTTTCCTTTCTTCTATTTCCCAACTTCAAACCTTTCAAACAACGTCACCCATCTACAACTAAAAGATTCAACTCGCATTTCCAACACATTTACGTTCTATCACACAAAAGAAACTAAACCGCCAAAATGTCCTTCATCGTCACCGTCATGTACCCCAAAACCGAAACCTCAACTTTCGATTTGGATTACTACATGAAGACACATATGCCACTCGTACAAGAGAAATGGGGTGCCCATGGGTTGAAAAATTGGAGCGTTACAAAGTTGGATGAGAGTACAGGGTATTCTGTGTATGTATTTTCTCAGGCTTTGCTTGCCGTTTTGATCTCGGAATTTCTTCATTTTTTCTGTGCAATCACTGCTTCAGGAGACGTGAAGGCTGTTGTGGGTAAAGGTAAATTGGGATATTGGCTGATGAATTTTTAATAGGCAAGCACTTATCTGGTTCGAGAGTAAGGAAGCTTGGGCTAAGGGAGCTGTGGAGGCACCAGCTATTATGAGTGATGTACCCAATTTTAGCTCGGTGCAACCTTTACTTGTTTTTGGAGAAGTGGTGGAGAAGGTTGTTTAAGATGTTTTGGTGATGATTGTTATTCTAGGAGGGACGGGATGGGATGAATAGATCGTTCGATGTACCGTGATCTGTTAGTGGAGGATAGGCAGAGTGCGAGAATAACTTGATTTGCGAGTAAGATGCAATTCTAACATTTGTATCAGAAGACTTGGTTTGTCGTGAATCGATTGTTAAGACCTCTTTGGGATGCATGGTTTTATGTCGCTCATATCTTTGCTGGAGAGAGGTAACTTGGAGATCCCTCAACATACGACTCCACCTTCATCCTTCACAATGTCTTCGAGATATGTGCTTCACCAATCCTATCACGAGTCGTATCTCTTTTCCTTCCTTATGCCTTCACTTCTTTTCTACCCTCCTCTAGGCTTCTCGAAGAAATTGAATCCAAAGTTGTCGAGTCAAATCCTGTTTCCGCCTTCCTTTCACATCAAAGCTCCAATATCTTCTCGAGGAAACTCCAAAAGTTTTTGTTTTCCGCAAAGAGACAAAATCAAGGAGAAATATTCGTACTCTCAGGAATTTAAACAGAAATTTCACTGGTTTTTGAGCTTCCAGTGCTTTTTAGGACTCGAGATAATGAGCTGAAAGAGGCAATGCAATTCAGAATGCAATATGCTTGAGGAGATCATGGCGGGAGTAATTCTTTCTCTTTTTTTTTCCTAATGTATGGACGCACGTAGCTCAGTTTGATTATTGTCCATAAGCTATTGTGGCGCAAAAATGGAGTACACAATTAACGTTGGAACAATAATTCATACTTGGGGCTCGCCCACAATGCGAGAAACGGCGATGAGTTCTTGTTTTTGGTAGTTCTATCAAAGATTCTTCCTCGTCATGATGATATTATTTGTGTCCTGGTAACCAGATCGAGAAGTACTCCTTGTCATAAATTATCACGATAAAACTTCAGTATCTTGTCTCAAAGCTGTTTCCGTAGCTTCAGTTGGGTTTGTCGATCATTGTTCTTTGGGATTTTCCCCAGGATTTTCCGCAGTTGTGGTTTCTGGCATGATATGTAGCTGGAAAAGTAGTCTCAATCTGGTATGGTCGTTTGGCTCGTCAATACACTTTTGTCACCAAATTTGGTCCTCTTCTAGCTCTGTGAAAGCGATCTTCAATTTGATACGAGCATTTATCGATCTCCCCCAAGCTCCCTCGGTATCAGTACAACCATTTTACCATCTCCTTAAGCTTCTCTTGTGATTCTTCCTCTGCCAGAGCCCTCCTTATCTTTACATCCTTCGGTGAGAGCAATTTCGAATAGGACAAATTTATTTGCTCCCGCCAACTAGCTCCGTCCCAAGAACCCTTATTTTTCTCTGACAGAGAGCGATCTGTGCATTCGAACCTCTCATGTTCAGGACAAACCCTTATCCGGTTTTTTCCTACATAAACATACCCATTAGGACGATAAAACAACTTTTTAACTCCACAATCTAAACAGAAACGTTTGTGGCTCTGTGGTCCTTTCCGACCTCTTCTTCCTGTTATTTGCACATTTCCAAAATTGGTAATATGTCGCAGCCGACAGCATATCCCGCATGCTAATAAGCGATTTTTCTTCTCATAGTCTTGCTGTTCGGCAGTAAGGAGATCTTGATGAGTTACTGTGGGACGTGGGATCGTGGCGTGGTAAAAATGGTTGGTGATTCGTAGTCTGCCTTGATCCACTGGTGTCAGGTTTTCTATGATCAGGCTTTGTATCTCGCTTGGTAGTTGCTGGATGTTTGTGGTTGGATGGGGTATTGGCCAGACTTTGGGTTCTCGATATAGTCTCGTTGATTCGAGGTAGGTTAGACATGCAGTATGAAGTTCTTTGAGGAGAGGTGTTTTTGGTGTTGCTGAGCACCATATTTTCGCTAGGAGTTTGCATTCGGATGTGCATGTCATTTTGAAATGTTGTGAGCAAATGACTTGGATATGAAGTATTGTGGAAGTTTTAAGGTTGAGGGATCAGATCGATGTATTAGAAGTCTGATTGGGATGAAAGAAGTATGACAAGATAAAGAACGGGTTATTATACTGAAGGTGGTGTGTGAAGATGGGTAATGAGATCAGAGGATCAAATTAACACAGCGAGAATATGGATATATGATGAGTAATGAGGTTAAGAAGGAGATACTATATTGAGATCAAGTGGATATAACTAAACTAGTAGTAAAGTCAAGAAGATCGAAAACTTTGTCACAGTAGAAATAAAATATGATGAACGAAAGAACGAACCAAATATTCAAGGTGGGAAATTTCATGAAACATGTGTACTTTGGGAATCAGTACTCATGTACAAACTTGTATATTAGCGATCGACTCTTGCTATCCTACTATTTATTACGCGGGCAATCAAGTTGTTGCTAAAGAACGTTTAGTCTTGATGTATTCAGTATAGTTGTGGGGTCATGACAAGTAGATTCTATGTTTAGTGCGAAGAAGTTTTAGTAGATATGCTAGTTTAGCTAAATTTGCGTGGATTATTTTTAGTCTGTCGTTTGGGTTGTTTAGAGGTTTAGTTAGTTCTCCTCGGTTGCGATTTCGATTTCGATTTCTTCTCTGCATTCAGATGTAGGCACGGTGTCATTTTCTTTTCACCAGGTCTATTGGGACTAGTCTTACGAATTGACTTTCGTCTTGAGCTTGACTCGGGTCATGTCGATTTTCTTGCGCTGTTTGTAATTTCCTTCGTCGAAGCATGATTTTGGACATCGTTCATCGTTCATCGTTCATCGTTCATCGTTCATCGTTCATCGTTCATCGTTCATCGATCATCGATCATAGGACACGAGAGCTTCTTCGCCCAAATATTCCTCTCTGGGTGTCTTACTCACATGTGCTGGTGAAAAAATTTATCACGTATAAATGATATTTGGCGTGATTGCAATATCTAAAATGCTGTGGTATATGGCATCATAGACTAAGTTTTTTTTTTCTCTCCAAAAGCTTCAAACTAAGTCTATTCCTAGCTCTAGCATCTTCATTAGCTTGAACACCGTTCCAACGTACTGACTAGCCATTAGCTAGTTAGCTGAAATGTACTACGGCTTGTTCTCCGGATCGGGGCCGATGAGATACGCTCCAGGCATCCTAGAGATTCTTTTCGGCAAGGTCACCGAATCTCGGACTGCTATTGAATCTGTTGGTACGAGAAGGATACGGAAGACGTAGCACCCACGGATTACGTAGGTCCTGTATGTCTAATTGTATTCTGTCTAAAGAGCTAGCTACATATTGAAAGTAGTAAGTCTTATATAGACTTACTAAAAGAGCTAGTCTCTTTCGCGTTCGCTTAGTTCTTTATTACAGTAGTAATTGAATTGAAGTCATTCACTTCGTTCACACAGAATCATTACCCGAATTCAAATCACAATTTTGGGAAAATGATGTTTTATGTATCTTTTATCTTCATATTAAACTTTCATAATTTATGTTTTGTATAATTAGTCTCTTTCCTTCTTTCTTCATGAATCACATTTTTGATCGATGTCACGGATTTCTTACGGTGCATGACCTTTACCTGCTCGGCGGTAAAATTATCTACATCTACTTTCTTTGGATTTCATATCATAGTTCGTTGTATTTTCATCAATATTGTCTTACTAGTTATTTATGAATCAGACGATCAGAGATATTCTGCAGTTAGACACCTCAAAATAATATTTACCTGCGATATAGAAGATGCGTTTGTGTTCGGCCTAACTTGTACAATTTCGTGTGTGTGACTGAGGATAAGAGTACTCATCAAGACAAATCTAGAATTTCAAGTTAAAGCAATGTATAAAGAATAAATAGCTTTCAAAATACATAAAGAAAATTAACTAGTAAAGAATCTCCCTAGATATAATTATGCACAACAAAGGACGTAAAATAGTAGAAAGACAAAAACTTTACTACATTCGAATCTCACTTAATCTAACAATGAAATTTACTTATCACCAATCAGGAGTTCATCGAAGGAAATACATGAAAAATCATGATATTTTAATCTTATCTATCTGCTCACCCTTAAAATCCCAAGAAGTAACCGCAATACAAAATGGCTGCTGAAGCATCAATATACACGTACCTCGCAGAATCGCACACACATCCCACAGGCACAGAACACAAACCCCTAAAACGACTTCCCGGGCTACTAAAAAGTGGTATTACACCCATTACACCACCACCATATGATAACTACTACAAACATAAAGCCCACCAGGATTTAAAATGGTATCAGGCGGACAGATTCGGGGGTAAGTTTTTCTTCTCCTCCTTTATCCCAATCGAAGCGCGATTTAAAAATCTGAGATAGATTGGAAACTAAGGTAAAGTTAGGTTTTACTACGCAAGAAATCCATCTTCATGATGCGTTTGCTCCGTATTCTAAAGCTAAGGCTGCGGGAAAATTAACTTGTCCTATTCATCCCATCATACAAAGGACGAAATGGAGACGAAAATTACCCGCGCAATTGGCTAGATATCCGCTTGGGAATGGACGGGAGGGTTATTGGGATGCTGTAAGAAGGAGTCCTGAGGGGATTGCGGGATATATGTATGCTGATAATCTGAGATGATAGTGGGAAAATGATACAGTTTGGAATTTGATGGTGCCAGCTTTACAATTAACGACGATGTTTTTGGCAAATTTGTATACTTGGCCTTGGTGAGATGTTTCTGTTACTGTTGTACTAATAAGAGAGATAAAAAGCTAATCGAATCGGGCAGGTTCGATGCATTATTCCTCGGAGAAATGGAAGAAATAGACGGAATCGATTTACCTGCAGAACTACAGGGGAAAAAAGGATATCGAAAATTCAAACTTAGACCCCCCCACATATCTGCGCAGGAATCCGAGCGCAGACGTGTTCAAGGGATGCTTGAAAGATTTAGGGATGATGTGACGTTGGATTTGAGTAGTGGACATACGGATACTAAATCGGGATTACCTGATGAGTTTGAATTTGCGAATACAAGTGGATCGCTGGATGTAGTTACCCAGAGGGGAATTGGGATTTCGATGGCTTTTGAGATTTTAGAACCGTTGTTTAATGAGAAGATTACAGAGGCGGAGAGGTTGATTGTTTTGTATAGATTTGCGGGGACTTTACTTCATGAGCTTTGTGTAAGTTTTGTTGTAGATTTTGAGTGGAAGATGTGCTGATTGTGAGTATAGCATGCTTTTTGGGAATGTCTACGGAAATGGGGTGTTCGAGTTGACGGTGCGGATGTGGTTGGGTTGAAGTTAGAACCCTGGTTTGAGCATGAAAGAACTTCTGAACTGTATGTACTATCTCCAACTAGATTCTCCGTTATGTCGATTTGCTGATTGAGGATAGAGGTTTTTCAATGGAAAGTTTTGTATGACCAATCCGCTCAACCTCCGATTTCGTTCGATCCACAATCAACTGATATATTGGACAGGTATTTGGTGGAATCGCCCAAGATTTCTTGCGAGAGGAAAGTGTACCATGTCGCGGTATTCCGCCGATGGGATTTTACCTGTAGGAACTAAGTTGCACTTCGATTCCGTGATCCAAAAGCTAATTAACACAGCGGCGAATTTGACAAATCAATAACGGAGTCATTAACAACGAATCCGCTGATCCTTATCAGGAAACCACGAGACTATTTGGTTTCACATGTATGGCCAATAACTTTAAGTTATTTTATAGATATCCAAAACCAAACATGGTGGAGTACATACAAAATGGTGTGAGTAATTGCTTGTAGACCGTAAATTCTTAGTTTATTAACTTATAAACATAGATTCGGAGCTAGAAGCACACAAATTCCAAAAATATTCGGAAAAAGAACCATCAATAGACTAGATGGTCAACCTCCTGCACCTCCCTCTGTTGGATTCGAGAATATAGATGGAGATTTCATGGGAGTAGGACCTATGAATCAAATGCAAAATATTGCACAATGGTTACGCAACTCGTATAAGCAACGCGCATATCAAATCAGAGATGCATTGATTGCTCATGGGAATTTAGAAAGTAGTTTTCCAGTCGCAGGCTGGCCACTATCACCGCCACCTGATGACAATGAGGATGACGATTACGAAGACGAGGACGAGGAGGACGAAGATGAGGAAGACGAAGACAATGAAGAAGTACCTTTTTGCTCACGCTATGATGAGATCAAAAGCTATTTAATCAATCAAAAGAGGGAATTGGCTATTGATACGATGAAATTCAGAATGCCAGAACATACCCTCCATCAATATATACGTAGAAACGGCGGAATAGATTTAAGCGCTGATGAATGGAGAGAATTTCTCTTAAACTGTACCGAGCGCAAGGAACTATTTCAGTAAGCCCCTAGGATTACGTGCCATAACATAACGTCTGTGACTAACAAAATAGAATTCGTCAGAAGAATGGAAAATTGCCTACTCCATATCATGCGATTCTCCGAATGCTTAGTACCGGATGGTCCACGAATTTAGCAGCTCCAGATACTCCGGTGCAGGTGAATATATCAAGAGCACAAGCAGAATGTTTCTTCAATGCTAGTGTGATTTATTTAACCGATAGAAAAGAACCTTGGTACAGATTGGATTTTTGGGATGCCGATGTGGAGATTTTTCGAACTTTGTGTAACAATTGGTTGGTGGCTAACAATCGAGGTGATCCCCTCCCGAAGGATATCTTTGAAGCATGTATACATGCTAGAGTGCAGCCTCGATTTGTGTAAGTTCAAGATAGTTTGTTCTAGGTAGTTTGCTGATAATGATAGCCTTGGTCCTAAAGGTATTGTCCGGAAATTGCCTGGACCACCTCCAAAAGCGACGGCATCCAGGAAAAGGCAAGCGAAAGGCCTTCAACCCGGTCCTCCATCGAAGCATCGGAGTCAAAATCGTCTTACGTAAATGGTTTGATTTTGTTCTATTGGGGATAAATGGCATTCATTCTCCATCAGCATAACTTTAACTTTGTTGCGTCAGGGGATTTCTGCGGACCATGCTCATCAGAACGGCATCCATGAGAAAACAAGTGAATTTTGTTCCACAACTTCATATACATCCTGCTGCCTGGGCTCAAGGCCTGCGAAATTATCCTCTTCAAAATTAGTCATAGCTCAACTAGTTCAGATGTAGAGAAAAATTCGTTTCAAATTTAACATCAATCAGTGTGATGACTGTAACTTTACAGTAATAAAAGAACATTTCCCAAATTACCTACCAATGACTGGTTAATAAGCTTAACAGGAGTCAACTAAACAATAGACTGATGATTATGCGATACATTTAAAAAGGTCATTTACCTCGATTTCCTTCCCAAACAGCTCAATAGTATAACGATCGTTTAAAAAATATGATCAATCCACAAGAGTTCAGTATCATCAACCCTAAGCGTGGTTCCAGCGACGCTTTTTACGAGAGGGTCGACTCAGTTCCAATGTGGCAAAGGTGCCTACGATATCGACCTCGTTCCAAGGACTTGAGGGCTTTTAATCCTCTCCGCGATAAAATTCGACAAATACCAGGTTGTGTGCAAAAGATCTGCTCTCCCTGTCACTAATGAGAAATGTCAGTGTTTGCTTTCTTGCCCTCAGTAACCATATCCCGTTGAAGCGCATCTAGGAACGTGTTTGGCCTGGTTTCGACGTACCTCGATGACACTGCATGCTTGCCACGAACAACACTAGGACCAGGAGGTCTCCAAAGCAAGCCCTACGTCTATTAAGGTCGCACGGGCACCGGGCACCGGAAATTATCCCCTTGCATCGAATCCAGTTCCTCGTGTACAGCCGATCTCCCCAAAACCTCTCGATCCAGCCCTATCTAGGGCGTTTGCCAAAGAGTTCAAGTTTGAATGCGGCATACGACGAGCCGGGGAGCGCGAGAGTATGTGATATCAATTATACCCCCCCCTGAATCATGTATCCCATTACAATCGAAGCACAATATTGGTATGGCTTTGACCACAACACAAACGATACTAAACTATTCAAACGGCCACGGAGATACCCATAACAAAGTCCAGAGTAAAGGCGACAAAAAAGCTGCGAGAGTTTCAATCCAACGGTACATCCACTTGGGGTATACCGCAGATTGATGAGGGTGCAATGAGTATCAAAACGGAAAATTCAGAACTGATTGACCTCGTAGACATCTCGGAATATCATAACCGTCCAAAAAGGAAGCCCGCCGTGCAAAAGCGAGCGGCAGACGGAATTCAGCATCATCCTTCGCCACATTCAGCCTCGACGCATAATTTGATTCAAACGCTTGAGGTAGAAGCTTCAAAACAAGAGCAGGAGAAGGCGGCGGGAGCGACAACATGTCTAGGTCTATATTCACAAAAATCTAGTACACCAAGGAATTCAAGACGATGCGGGCAGGTTTGGGATAGAGAAGAGACGGAGGATAGATTTCGGGCGATGAAGCTACTAAAAGACTCGCTCTAGATTTAAGACTCACTTGAGTCATAGAGGCATCATAAAAGTAACGTGTTCTGTATAGTAGTTGCCTGAATATATCCAAGCTGGTTCATTCTCACGAAGAATGCATTATATCCTTCCGGTAGCAATGAATGAAAAGGGAACATGCCTTTATGAGACTTACTCCTTGCATATGTTTTCAATCTCGTGATAATAACCCTAGGTAATTCTACTCTGATAAGTACTGGTAGTAGCTAGTGGTTGTGGATGATGGATAGATTGCTTGATAGAACAGAATTGTTGATAATGGCGGGGAAAGATAATGAAACATAAAATTAAATCTGTCCTCAGCCGCTTTTTGTCTAGGGCTTTATTAGACTTTGTTAGGCAAGCTCCAACGCGGAACGGTGTATTTCTTAGGGCCGCCGCTTCTAATGGTGACGATTTTCTTCTATCCACTCTTCAAAATTATTTCCTGGGATCTGTCAATTTCTCAAAGACTTCACAACATAAAGTCCACCCAAAGCCCAACAATTCCATTTATCCATTATCCATTCTCCCCTTTGAAGTATCATTTGGTCGCAGTCAATTACCATCTTCTAAAGCACTTACTCCTTCATTACTTGCAAACAGACAAAATGGCTCTCAGTCCTCAAGTGTATGATAAAATTACTGGAAACTACCCTCACCTCTTTGTTACTGACGACTTTTGATTAGAACCAACCTGGTCATCATCCTCGGGATGATGCAAGTCTCCAAGCGTGTTCCTCTTGAGGACCCTAACGTTTTGATGATTGTTCGTGGGATTTATATCCTGTCAAACGTCCTCATCGCTGGCATTTACGCTTATACCCAATACTTGATCAACAAGAAGAAGGGTAGGTAGCCTAGTTTACTGTGGGTGCTCCCATAGATGCTAATTGTTGACCTAGATATGACTACTCTTAAGTACGTCGAGCAACCTCAAATGGGTTCCGCCGAAGAGCCAAAGCTCGTCACCACTACCGTTCACAAATACGATAGCGATCAAATGAAAGCGCTATACAAGGCACAATTGATGGGTGTTGGAATGATGGCCGTTATGCACTTGTACTTTAAATACACCAATCCTCTCATGATCCAATCTATCATTCCACTTAAGGGCGCACTCGAAGGCAATGAGGTCAAGATCCATCTTTTCGGGCAACCAGCTTCTGGAGATTTGAAGAGACCATTCAAGGCACCAGCTGGTTTGATGAGCAGCCTTCAAGGAGGAGCTTCCCCAACACAGGATAAGAAGACTATTGAGGCAGCTGAGAAGGCAGGTCGTGGAGGTGTCAAGGACGAATAGATGCCCGGGCGTCAGACATACACGATATGATGTTTTCAAGGAATGGGGAATCAGGGGATTGGGATTTGGACCTTAAAATCTAAGGATATGGGGTAAAATTGGGAGATGGATGGGGCAAGAGATTTTATGTCTCCTTTGTATCATAGAGACGAGAAGATGGAGACGACCCTTTAATTCCATGACTACTTTCTGCACTTTCTCCTATCAAAACATTGTTTACATTACCAATATAGTTTTTCCAACCATACTTAGTTTCTGCATCATTTGTTTGAAGATAGGTATAGACGATTTCAGCCTTAGCGTAGACAAAATCACCGAGGCTGAATTGAGACCTATTGCCACTTTCTGGCTTCAGCCTTGTTATATAAATTTATAAAACTTCAACAATTTCACTTCCAACATACTCTGCATAATCTGACATTATGGAGAGACTAAATACTCCACCGCGGACTGCAAGAACTAGATCTCAAGTCATACCACCAACAACACCAGAAGTCAAAAGAAGAATAGTTAGTTCAAGGCAACCCATGAAGACAAATTAAACCTCATTTATTAATCTCTTTCATCAGGAAGAAAATAGACTTAAGGCCAAAGCCCTCCGCGAACAATCTATAGCTCGTGAAAATGCTCTCTCTTCAAACAATACCAATCGCACTCCCTCGGGCTTTATCGCCACCCCAGATATAACCCTCGCGGGTCAAAAGCGCACTCACTCCTCTATCTCAGCTTCGTCCATCCCAGCCACTTCTCGCGATGCGCGACAATCTACCAAAGATTCCCGAACCGATGACACCGCACCACAGGCGGCGCGGAAGTTCCGGAAATATGTTGATCATGACTTTAGTAAGATGACAGATACAAAAGGTGGATTTTTAGCTGCGGAAGATGATCCGTGGAATAAGGCTTTACATGCACCGAAAGAAGGGGAGAAACCAGCACATATGACATTGAAGGAATGGGAGAGACATCAGTTTTTGAAAGGGTTAAGAAACAGGAAAGAGGGGCCTTTTGAGCCAGGATTGAGTGTGCTAGGGAGGGGCGATAAAAAGTGTAGGGAGTGTGGGAGTGTGGAGATCGATTTTGTGTGGGATGAGGTTTTCAAGTGTATGGTTTGTAATTTGTGCAAGGAAAAGTTTCCAGAGAAATATAGTTTGTTAACTAAAACGGAGGCGAAGGAGGATTATCTTATTACGGATCGTGAGTTTTCATGATTATACATGATGATAGACTTGAGCTAATACTCTATGTAGCGGAGTTGAAAGATGGTGAACTCTTACCACATCTCAATAAGCCCAATCCACATAAATCGCATTGGCACGATATGATGTTATTCTTACGCTATCAAGTTGAGGAATATGCATTTAACACGAAGTGGGGAAGCGCAGAAGCATTAGACGCAGAGTTTGAGAAAAGAGAAACGGAAAAGAAGAAGAGGAAAGAGGAAAAGTTCAAGAATAAATTGAAAGAATTAAAGAAGAAGACGAGAACCGAAGCGTATAGGAGAGGTTTGGCGGGTGATGGTAAAGGTGGAAAGTTTGGTGATGCGATCAGTAATGGGAAACATGAACATGAATGGGGTCAGACGGTAGAAAATGAGGATGGAATGAGTGTGAAGAGTTGTGTAGAGTGTGGGATGGAGGTTGAGGAGTTGGAATTTTAAGGGAAGGTGTTGGTATGGGGTATGGGGTATGGGGATTGGGATATGGATGTATAGATTAGAGGCATTGGGGGGTTTATGAACGTGATTGGAGTTTGGAGAGGACATTTATGATCATGATGATTAGGTTGGGATTCTGAGACTTCCGGAGAATGTATATAATACTCGGGTGTACATACTGGTCCACAACTTCAATCATACTCTTAATTCCATATCTTCTCTGCATGATAGAGATGCACATTTACACTTCATCTCTTTCCCTATGATGCATTGATGGGACAAGTACAAATCCCTCAAGGTCGCTGCGCTTGAAGAAATACGCTCCCTTACATAGATCGTCAATCCATTAGCGTATCTCCACAGACCCCCTTTTGATGAGTATTGTTTGGATGCTAGGTGTTCATTGGGTTATTAAGATAGCAAAATGGTTGATAGTAGAAGGGTACATATTGGTTATGTATAGCTCTATATATATTAATCCTATATTAGTCCTCGGTATACTTATATTATAGATTTGCTATTATAGTATTTCTCTCTTATTTACATCTACGAGAAAGGGGTAAACAATACCAGGCCATTCACTCTACACAGAATCATCCAGGTACAAATATCAACAAAAGAAACATCAGATGGGAGCTATGACCATTTTAAGTTAAAGCCGGCATCATCCATACCTTAAAATAAACAATAACCCCAAACCCAAGCCCAAGCAAATCATTTTTGGCCTTAAAAGCGGCCTGACGACAGGATTTAGAATAGTTGGCTTGGTTGGAAGCTCTATTTGGGTAAGAGACGCCCTTCTTCAGTTCCTCTTATGATTTTAATGTCCCACGTTGCACTCCCGCGACGATCTTGTACAGAAGCATCATAAAGAGTTTTTAAAGATTTATAAATTTGTTACCTCCTGGTCTCTGTTATACTTCATTTATCTTAAACAAATCTTGTTTGCGCGAATATGTTCAATTGAGCATTGGTAGTTTGCTGGAAAAATTTAAGGCCTCGTTGTCTTTGGCGACCACTCGACTTATCTTGCGCCTGCGACGATTAACAAATGCTCATCGTGCCCTCGAGTTTAGGTGCGATCTTAGCGCACAAGGCGGGTTTTAGGTTATAAAAGAGGGACTGGCCTGGGCCTGGGGAACGAGATGGCCTGGCAGTCTCTATCTGGTTTGGGTGGTGGTGGTGGAGGTCAAAATAATGGAGGTGGTAATGTTGGTGATGGAGGAAATCAAACAAATCAGCCGCAAGGCACAGAATATACTCTGCAAGGTATGCGCCCAGTTGTTGTGTTCCTTTGACTCCATTAACTGGTTTTCAGGTGTAATGCGATTCTTACAAACTGAATGGCATCGACACGAGAGAGATCGAAATGCGTGGGAGATCGAAAGACAGGAAATGAAAAGTAGGATAGCGAAGTTAGAGGGGCACACTAGAAAACTTGAAGGGTCGAATGATAGCTTGAAGAAATTCCTTACCATGTTAGAGAGGGCAGCCAAGGAACGAGAAGCACAATTAAAGGCGATCAAATCTGGTGCCACGGCTCCAGTGTCGGGAAAGAAGGAGAATAAGGATAAGGATCCACGTCGTAAGTCAATTGGAATTTTACGATTATTGGAAACTAATAGATTTAGCAGCTGGAAGAGAGGCACATAACTCATTTCTCGAAGTTGAAGGGGAGAACGACGCGAAAAAAGCAATTCAATCCGAAAAATCTGGCATGAAAGATTTCATGGATAAATCTCAAGGAGAACTCACTTACCTCTTGGTATCACCACCAAATCCTTTGCCACCTCGAGAAGCTCCTCCACCACCTGAAGAGATTCTACCCTTTGGAGTCAATCAAGCTCAACAGCAAAACCTCGACGATATGCAGCAGCTTTACTCTAGATCCAAGCCTATGAGAATACCAGAACTATCACGACCTCCCCCAGCGCCTTCTCCGACACCTAACCATAATCCACCACCAGTTCCAGCCCCAACTAAACTTTCGGTTCAAAACCCTGATAATCCAGCGCCAAGATTTTTAGCAGATCAACAACCTTTACCACAACCTACTCAACCAGAATGGTCTTCGCAATTTAGATCTCCTGAGAAAGCTCAGGTTTCAGAAGAACCTTTGACGAAACTTAACCATTCTTACGATTCTTATGGACGACCCGTTGAGACAGGTGAAACAGTACAGAAGTCAGCTTCGGATTCTGATGGATGGGACTTTAATGAACCAGCTCAGTTTACCGAACAAGAAATAAAGATTTCGACCCAAAGACCAGATACCGATGTATTCCCACCAGCGCAAGATCCACCAAAATCACCCATTCGTGGTCCAGGCTCACATCGGAGGAAAACATCTTTATCACGGAGAAAGAGTGGCGAACATGAACTTTCATTGAACCCAACACAAAGACCAGATAGTGGTAGCTTCAAGGTTCGATTCGGTCTTAGGGGCCATCTAGATGCAGTTCGCTCAGTTATATTTACTGGAGGTGGAAGCCCCGGAGAACCAGAGTTATGTACATCAGGCGACGATGGTACTATCAAAAGATGGATTATACCCGCTCGTTATGAAGACCAGGGTACATTTCATGTTAGCGCCAATGATTTGGATATTCAAAGTTACTTTACTCATCGTGGTCATGCCGGAGCTGTCATGTGCTTAACCGCTTGGTCTCCATCGCAAAACTTTGCTAGTGGTGGACGTGCTCAAGGTGATGGATGGATATTTTCCGGTGGCCAAGACGCTACTGTAAGAGTATGGGAGAGAGGTCGAGTAGATCCCAAGGCAACCCTCGATGGTCATACAGATGCAGTATGGACAGTATGTGTACTTCCCGGTACAACTGGAACCATATTTGGTCAAAATAATGCTTTTGGTGGACCAGATCGGATTATCTTAGCAAGTGGTGCTGCAGATGGCACTGTTAAAGTATGGTCTGTTAGCGCACCTCCACAACTCGTATCACCTTCAGGTGCCGGCAGCCGTAGAGGTGGCCGAGTTCGAGGTAACTCCATGTCATCTGGTTCAGCGTTTCCATCATCTCCTCAACCAAGCGTCGCCTCAACCTCGCCTTTCCATTATACATTAATTCATTCGATAACCAGGCCTAATAGCACAGCATCCCCTACTTGTATAACACCATTAGCCACTTCAGGTGAATCTTTCGTCGTATCTTATTCCGATGCAGCTGTGTTAGTATACGATACACGAACTGGTGAGGAGGTTGCTTCCATGGCAAGTTTGGAAACATATAATGGTACACAATCAACTGGAGTTAATGCCATAGTTGCAACTACTACTGGTCTTGATAGTTCCTTGAGCTCTGATTCTAATCGCGGAATGTCAGAAGATGAAAATGTTGTTGGTGGAGCTACAGGTACGAGTGGTGGTGTTGAAGGTGTCATAATCAGTGGACATGAGGATCGCTTTATTAGATTTTATGATGCTAATAGCGGTAAGTTACTCTTCATTATTGTAGAAGATTAATCACTAATTAATCTAGGTCAATGCACATACAACATGCTTGCTCACCCAGCAGCTATTTCTGCTCTCTCATTATCCCCTGATGGTCATGAACTTGTCTCGGCCGGTCATGATGCTAGTTTACGATTTTGGTCTTTAGACACACGTAGCTGTACACAAGAAATGACAAGTCATCGACTAATGCGTGGCGAAGGTGTATGTTCAGTCGTATGGAGTCAAGATGGAAGATGGATCGTTAGTGGTGGAGGTGATGGCGTCGTAAAGGTTTTTGCCCGCTAAATGTCTGATTATACCCATATTCAATTTTTTTTTTTTTTCTAATTTTCTCGATTTTTTTTGAGATGGAACGCATTGCATATACATATTCTATATGGATATGGTAGGATGAATGATAGGTGAATGGAGTGATGGTGACGGTGTTGAATGTGAATGAAGAGTGCATGTTACACTTCAATAGGTACTATGGAGGAAGTCTTTATCTATTAACCTGCATTTTTTTGGTAAGATTACCATCTAAGTATCTAGTAGTATCATGCCTACTACATACATATATACATATGTTCATGTTAAATAAATACTTGGAGGCTGAGCCTGCAAGACAGCACTTGATTGGAGTTTATAGTTGAGTTTATATGTATGTATGTATTCTTACTTTGATGCACGGGTGGATGGATTGATGGATGAATAGGGGCGGGCTGGGTGATAAATAATCTAGGAAGGGAGGAAGGGAAGATTATATTCGAAATGCTATATAGAAAATGGTATCTAGAAAATATTATCTAGATAAGTAGGTAGGCAGGTAGGTATGTATTTGGATGTATGATGTTTAGATGGAGATGAGATGGATGAGATGATATTCTTCTAATCTTAGTTTATGTTAAAAGGAATGACCTCACACAGGGAATAGTGGGAAGCTGATAGGGCAGAACTGAGGTAATATTGGTCTAGTAGGTTAATCTCTCTTCTAAGTTCTACGGAAGTGCGAAGCTCTCTGTAAGAGAGCTTCTCAATCTAGCCCTAACAGGACTAGTGCCCTGTGCACGTGCTACGCAGGAACCATTCACTTTAACAGTTTAGATTATTATTACCGCCGTCTTTTTTTTTCCCCTTTGTATTGTGTAATGGGGAAGATTTTAGTCTTTTTTGAGAAGGATGTTTTATGTTTTATGTTTTATGTTTTATGCTTTATGTTTTATGTTTTATGTTTTATGTTTTATGTTTTATGTTTTATGTTTTATGTTTTATGTTTTATGTGACGCCTCACACCTCCGGGTCACGTGGCATGCCCCGTTTGTATTTAATCATAGGAAAACTCTCTACTCTTGTTTTCCTTCTTCTTTTCTCCTTAGCTTAGTATTTTCTAATACAAGATACTTTACCCAGTATTCTTGAGTGTGACATTTTATGTTTTATGTTTTATGTTTTATGTTTTATGTTTTATGTTTTATGTTTTATGTTTTATGTTTGTGTTTTAAAGGGGTTTGGAATTTGGATTTCGGCTTTTTTTCTACTTTCTTTGGGTTTGTTGATGGGACTGGAAGTTGGTGGTGGGTTTGGAGGTGGCGACTTAGGGATGGGAGATGATTGGATGATGTGATGGGGAAAGAGGGAAAATGGGTCGGAGGACGGAGAACGGAAATGACAGGAAGGAAAGGGGGATGATGGAAGGGAGGGGTGGGTATGGTGGATGGCTGGATGGATGGATGAATGGAAAATTCGGTTGATGAGTAGGCGATATGGTATAACTAGCTAAGCTAGTTTATGAAGCTCGGAAGCAAGCGGTTTGATTTGGTTTGGGGTATGTAGAAGGGTAGAGAGGGTCGATTTTGTATTAATATTGGAATGGAGATACCTATTTTCTTAAGTTTTTATTACGTTGTATTGGGGAGAGTGTCATCTATGTACAAGTGACGGCTTTTATGATGAAAATGAAAGATGAATATCAGATTTGAGTTGGGTTAGATCAGGCGTCAGAATTTATGAGTTTGAATATGGATTTTCATGGATTAAGTTTCTTGGGTATTCGTTATTTTATTTACATATAAATTATAACATGTGGGGGTATATATTATATAAATCTTCCTTTCATTTTCGTTCTCTTTCTTTATTAAGTCAATAGTAATCATCATCATCATTGTCTAATTCACGATCTTCCCTTCCATCTCCATATAAAATCTCACATACTCCACCTAAAGGTACATCCATAACTGCATCAGTTCCTCGACTCCAAACTTTTTTCCACGCTCTCACATCCGCTTCTTTCCCTCCCACAGTATAAACTCCCTTTTCCCTTTCTCGCTCCTTCGCACCACCCAAATACCCCACTCCCTTTTCCCTCTCCCTCTCCTTCCCCCTCCTCCGTTCCCTCTCCTTTTCCCTCAAATTCTCCTCATGGCTAGCATGACTCGCAGCCGCCATACCCCTCCCATCAACCAAACACACATTAGCCGCCCCATCAATAATCGTCTCTACACTATTCATCCCCAAAGTCAAATATCCCGTATTGTAACTCGCGAGCGCAACATAGATATACACGAGTAACATGACGATTCCAGCTAGGGTAACGCAAGTGATCACCATCGATTAGGGTAATAGTAGATTTCCTAGCGCGTGCAGAAAGGGAGAGGGAAGATATGACCAGAGGAGATAGAGGGAGGAAGGCTAGAGAGCGAGAAGAGATATAGTACGAAGTCCGTAAGTATTCGTATGTGGGAACCTTTGGGGGAGGCTCGGTGGGGACGGGTTTCGAGGTC